TATTTTTTAGGATTTATTTGTTTTAGAGGTAATTTTAGAAGTCCACTTGTTAGGGGACTCTTTCCCATTTGATTTTCCAGCATAGGATAGGATAGTATTTCCTAGGAGATTTATTTTTCAGTATTCAAGCATTGTAACCCATTTTTCAGAATGTTAATAAAACGAGATTTGAGCTGTGGTCCCGAAGTAGCCGAACTACAGCTGCTCTGATTCCTCGTACCAGACGAGGATATGTAGGCATAGGATGCGATATCCTAGCGAGCACACTAACGACTGACTTTCTGTTCTCTCGCTGCTGTGCGATCGAGACTTTCCCGCTGACGATTAATTGTAACCCTTTTTCTCTATTGCCCGAGTGCATTTGAGACCAAACCGTAGTTTTGCCCATAGGTTCCCGACCTTTGAAACCAGTTGATTTTCTCACTGCTGTGTAAGGATACCCTGTTTAGCCGTAGTTAGCCTGAACTACGTAAAGCTCTGATCTTCCATGCAGTGTGGAAGTACGTAGGCACAAGACGCGAGGTCTTGGCGAGCCAATTTTCCTGTAGTCCTAAACTACGTTGACTCTGACTTTCTCTTTTGAGAATACGTAGGCATAGAGTGTGACGCTCTATCGAGTCAATTCCCTTCCGTTTAGATTTAGCAGCCGTAGATAGATTGTTTTGCATCCTTTAGACAACCCAAGCAAGCGTGGATCCCGTCGAGTACGACAGACGTGAGGGGTGCTAATACCTTCCCCTTGCGTAACCGACTCCCGAACCCAGGTTTTGGTTGCGATGACCATACCTTTCCCCGTTTTTTTGCGAGGTTTACTTCGAGCGTTTCCTTTCCCTCCGTTGGGATAAATAACGCACGGTGGCGACTCTTTTGTCAGCCGACGCCGATTTTCGCAGTAGCGACACAAATACCTCAACAGTGTGTTGTGATGGAGGGATTTCAATGGCGACAGATTGAAATTTTTTAGCTAGATTACCAGGAACAATAGGTTTTACGGTCGAGGTAACCGCTTTGAAGGGGGTCTTCTTGGTAGGAACTTTCTTCTTCTTGGCTATTGGGGTATCAGGAGGAGAGTTGGATGTTTGAGCAGGAAAGACCCGGGATTGGGTACTTTCGTACGACACTCCATCTTCCAGAGTCAACGCCTTTTCAAGAACCTACCAAACAACAGGGTAAGTTGACAGTAAAAGGCAAGTGCAAAGAATCACCAAAAACATGTGGTACCTGAGGATTCAAGACTTTTTGTTTCTTTGCTAGCCTGGTCGAGGTCGACATAACAGTTGGTTCCCTTTTTCGACCCTGGGGAATAAACGCAAATGATTAGATATTGGAAACGAATAAAATACAGAAAAAAAGCAAAGAATGTACCTTCTTTGAGGTGTCCTCTGTGGCACCAGCTCCTTGGGGATTCTCGACAGCTACAACAATCGTCGAAGTAGGGACTTCACCAGCAAGGGCAGCAAAAGCATCGACCATATTCTCCAAGAAAAGGTTACGTTTGTAGCATTGATTTTGGTATTCTAACCACCATACACTAAAACCCTCTGTTGTAAAGAAGAATGGTTGAAAAGAAAACACAGGTAACTCAAGGCGCTGAGTCGACCTAGCAAACTTAAGGCAGTTCATGTGGCCTATCAGGTTTAACCGTCGACCAACTCACACGATGTCAGAGGAATGTCGTACCAGGGATTTTGTCAGCAGTTGGCTCAAACCAAATTGTCGAGCCACCAAATTAGACTGGTAATTCATGAACCCATAGTCTATGTTCCCCGTCTCAATTCGAAACGACAACATGGTGAGAGTCATAAACGCCCTTCATATGGAATTCGACATTGCTGTCGTTTTTGGGGAAGCACCAGGAAAGGGGTTTCTAAACCATGACGGACCAAACTGTCGATGCACAAAAGGAGTCATGCCAGGAAAGAAGGTGGTTCCTTCTGCAAACATGGTGAGGTATTTCATAAAGAGAGTTTTGTTGGGAGTTTCCTGCGTAGTCATCAAGGTGAGTCAAACGCCTTCTATGGGACAATCATCATCCAGACGTTACATTGTTGCAGATAAGGGATAGCTCAGCTGATGCTCAAATATGGCGTTAAGTCAATGCTGTAACAACCACATAGGTCCTAAAACGTTCAAGACCTTGGTGGTTTCATGAAGGAGTTTTATTCTCAAGGCCGACAGACCAAAAGAATGATAGAGAGAGGATAATAGAAGCTTACCCAAAGATACATGTTGACCCTCATGTATTTGAATCGCCAGGTTGATATAACTCTTGGCTATTTATAGAGAGCCAGGACAGAAAAGGTAGTAGGACAACCAGAGATTAAGAAAGGCAATGTGTTCTTCATCCAACACTTCGTTAGAATCTTTATCATGATGGTCCTCTATAAAGTTCTGGAAGCCAGCACGTTCAAAGTCGAAGGTGGCATCCATCTCCAAGGTCGGGTCAAAGGTTTCACCCAAAGGAGAAAGACTCATGATGGCTGCCACGTCGAAGAGCGTCGGCTCAACGTGCCACAGGGGAAATGGAACATGTTGGTCGACCATTCCCAGAAAAACATTGATGCCAACAGTAAACAATGGTTAACCCTATGAGCATTCATGGAGAGCTGAATGGCGTCGAAGATGCCAGCTGTCTTCCATTGGGCCTGACGTTTGCCCTGAACCTTTTTCAACCAGGAGATGTAATATTTGTTTCCTGGGGTAGGCATCGGCCTAAAAACACGGGCCTTTGGCGCCATAAACTTTAGGTAGAGGGTACCACCTTTCTGGAAAGTAGGGGGAATGGTGGGGAAAAAAACAAGGGAAAAATTCCTGAAGCTCTTCATGGCTGGATTTGTTAGCAGGGTAAGGCCTATTGAAAGCATGCAAATTTACAGCAACGACAAATGGGATGATCATCTGGCGTTGCCAAGTAGCTACCACCACGTTATCAGCGGTCGTCAGGTTGGGAAGGGGCCTAAGGGCGTTAGCTTCAGAGAGAACAGACGCAATAGGGTTATTTCCAATAGTGTGAGTGATAGAAATGGTTGGGGAAGCCATTGAAAGGGAGGGTCAAAGAAATTTTGAGAGCAAGAGTTTGCAGGAAAGAAGAAGCGTGAGAGAAGTTGGAAAAAGAAAACCAAATTGGGAAAGAGGCTATTTATAGGTGAGCTAGCATGTAGTTGAAAAGGCAAGGGGCAGTTCCAATTCCAAAGTAAGTGGGAGTAGTTTAAAACCCATAACATTGGGATGCGACCAGGCATGATTAACTTTCTTGGAAATCGTGGCGCAGAAAGGCGCTATTATCACGTCAAACTGTAGATGACGCGTGGTTGACTCGACAGAAGAGCAATGATGGTGTTGCTGAGTCATTACCAAGACACAGTCGAAACCTCATAGAACCAAAACGCCAAGTTCCTTAGTCGATAATGTGCTCATTCGAAACTGGGTTTTGAGGGGGCATCTTGTTGGCTTGAAGTTTCAACTAAGGAAAGGAGACACAGAGGCTGGCTTGTGGGTCGACATGCTGGGAAAGGTGGTAAAGGAGACAATGTGAGTCGACGCCAGCAGAGGGAGTTTTGTGAGTCGACTCAGGCCTATTCCGTCGAAGATGTCGATTGATGGGCAAAGAAGCCGACACGAAGTAGAAGAACGTTTGAGTGGGAAGAAAATTTGAAAAGTTGAGAACGTGAGAAGTTACAGAAGTGGTGGAAGGACACGTGGCGCCACAACGATCAACATAGCAATTATTTTATTTTCCTATTTAAGGCAATGCCCATGTTCATTTTAAGGAGACGCATTTTGTAACACTGTAAGGAAAAAACACTCTAAGTACCAAGCATTAAGAGAAAAGAGTTTCATTCCTGCAAAATGTATGATCGCGTCCACATTTCCTTTTAATAACAATTTATATAACCAACCTTAAAGATTTCTTGTCTTTTGTTTTTGTTTTTCTTGTTTATTTATTTGTCTTTATTTAAGTCTACACAGTCTTTCTCAAATTTGTCTTCAACCTATTCCAAACAACATCATTCTACCATCATCTCATATACTCGACCGGTTCATTCTGGGACTTGTTTGGCCGGTCCCGCAAGTAAACCTGCGTTAGAAGGTCAGATGTTGTTCGCGCGAAAACTGCGTACGAACACTCCCTTCCCTCTAATCCCATTTGCAGTATCAGAACAATAATACCATGTTGTTTGCCAATGGACACACTGCCCATGCTAACACATAAACTCGGGAGAAAAATATCTGTCATTTACAATATATACAAAATAAATTATCAGTATACCAAAAGCCTATTAAGTTTTGGACAAGTTAAAAAAACATGTAAGTAAAACATATAAAGTCAGTGGTGAAAAATTATATAAAATATGCAGGGGAACCATCAAGATTTGAATTACACAAATGAACTACCTAACTTTTTACAGGAGGCAAAATATCCGATACACTTGATTATTTTTAAAATCCAAAACTTTTTGGATCTTTAGAATTGCACCAATTTTTTTTTTAAAATACGGTAAATACACGATTATTATCCATAAAATACAATATTTTTCTAAAATATGTGGTAAAAATACAACAAAATATCGAATTTTTAAAAAAAATCTGAGAAAAACTCATCAATTTATAAAAAATCCAATAAAATTACATACAATTCACTTTTCTCAAAAATGTTCATATTGGATTTTTCAGAATAACTACAGAATTTTTTTCATTTTTTACCAGCTATCTAAAGTAAAATTTTTTTAGAAAAAATAAATAATGTGAAGGTTATTTTTATCATTATAAAAATATGCATGGTGCCATGTTTAACTATGTGGGGTGGCATACGTAACAAACACCATATCCTATTTTTTTATTTAATACGAAGGATACCTTAGTAATTGCACCGTGTAAACCGAAACAGAACAAAATAAGAAAAAGAAAAGAAAATTTAGTTCAGAAATCAGATTTGGCGGAGCTAGGTTAAGGTTGGTAGAGGAAGTGAGAGATTTGATAGCAACTTCGAAATCGTTACAATGTCAAAGCTTTCGAGCACGCTGACGAACATGAAGGTAAGAAACCGATCACAATCTTTATTGTTGAATTTTCATTCCTTTACTGTTACGAATTTTCTCACTGTTGTTTGATTCAAGATTGAAAGTTCAAATTCACTAAGAACGTTGTTTCTTGTTTTGATGTTGTATAGTTTATGCAAAGGGCAGCTGCAAGAGAGGAGAAAATCGAGAAAGTTGAAGAAGAGGTCAAACCTGATGTCAGTTTAGGTTCAACCTCAACGATTTCTAGAAGATGGTACTTTTCTTTGTTCAATTCAAATAATCTGCACTTTTCTTTGAATTTTGTTGTTGTTGTTGTTGTTGTTGTTGATGGTATGCTTATTAGAATTGAAACTCATGGTTCTTTGAGAACATACTGTTGTCAAATTGAAGTGCTATTTAGTAAAATTTGGATTTGTTCCCAACTTGCGGGCGTAACGTAATTAAATTTGAACAGTCACACACTATTTAGTTAGTACATAGTATAAATTTGTATTTATCTTAGTGTTGTCGAATAGGGGTGATATTCGGTGCAAATTGGATTTGTTCCCAAATAGCGGCGGCCATAATGTAACTGAATTTCAATAGCGATATGGTATTTAGTACAAAGTGTTGTCCAATAGTGGTTGTGACGATGCTATAGCACTTGCATATCAAAATTTGGACCAACCGCAATATTTTGTGCTCCGCGATTGACAACACCGTTTTATCTCTATTTCTCTAATCAAATGTTGACATGTAAATTTTGTTAATTCAAACTTTATGATTAATTTCTCATGTGAAAAATTCATCTCCGAATATCCATTTATGTAATGATTTTGGTTTTCTATTGACAACATAGGCTTTTTAGTAGAATAATAATGTTTTTGAAAGTTGAGGTTCCTCTTTGCTATAATTTCTATTATATTGTTCTTGTTATTATCCGGTATGGCTTATAGGCTAGCTTTCAAATTTCTATTATAAATACGCAACATGTTTCTCTTGATTGTTGCTAACTGAAAGATTGACTGTTTTTCAATTAATTAGTAAGGCTTGTTTCTGAGTTTTTAGATGGTGTGCAGAAATCACTGTTTGAATATGGGCCTCTAGTGTTCAGTGTTTTAAAATAACCGGTATAGCGCTACTATACTGCTATTACATGTCATGATATAGAGGAACTACGTCAAAAGCCAATATGCTATTGCAAATTCGCCACCACTGCAGTAGCGGTAATTTTTTGCATATTGGTGATAGCGGTTATGGTTTACTTAGCCAAAGCTATTGGTGTTTATGCTTATTTGCCTAATAATAACATTAAAACTTTCACGAGTTGCACATGACATATTTTTAGATACATAAAAATAAATTAATGCTGAATTGGTGATAAGATGGGGTCTTTTATAACCCCTAAACCTTACTACCTAGGTAACCTCTCATTTATTCCCCTTCACCTATCATCCCTAATTTGATTTATTCATTTTTATCTGTTTTTTTCTTCTATTGTTTTCTTTCATCTATTTCTCAGTTATTTTCCTAAATATTTCCTTTCCCCTGTATAATTTAATTTCTGTTTGTGTAGCTTTTATTTGTGTGCAACATGCTTCATTTTATGTATAATGATTTTTTTCAACCGCGTTGCAGCTTCTGCTATTTGCCCGCTTCTCTATCCTCTATTTCCGCGATTCACTATTAATAACCCTGATGCTTTCTACATTCATATAGGCTTAATTTTTTTACAAATCTGTCTTTTACATTATAAAATAGTAAAAGTTAATTAAACTATACGTCTACTAAAATTTAACCACTCTTATATACACCTGTCTCTTATATCTACAATTACTTTCTTCATCTTTTGATTTGTTTTCTGTCTTATGGCTTTCGACGTATATGTAGTGTGGTCATAGTGGAAGGTGATCCTCATCCCGGAGCATTTCAAGGTCGAATATCATTTCAAAGTTTTAATCCAACTATTGATGTGAGTTTGAAGATCAAGAATTTAAACGCCTTTTCTCTATACTCCTAGTCAATTTATTTAATGTATTTTTTCTATTGATTTAATTCTAATGCCGTAGCCTTGCCTTTGTAGAAATTAAATGAGGAAGAAGTAGGACTTAATCAGCCCGTAGCCAAAACTAGCATTTCTAAAAATAAAAATGCGAATGTATCTGTTAGGTGGGTTTCTTGTTCTAAGCTATGTAGATATCAGATTTAATTCTTTTCCACCCAACAAGGGTCAGAAAATTATCTGTTTATTTTAGTTTCTAATATATTTCTTGAGTTTATTAACATAAATAGAGACCTTTTGAGAATATTTCTGCTTACTAAGTGTAAGTTTGTTTCTTTGTGTGGTTTCAGAGAAAATAACTCTTCAGAAGAAGGTACAGAACATGCTAACATGAGTGAAGAGAGTCACGAGGTTAATGGCAATGTTAAAAGGAAGCAGTCTGAAGTAATTAATGAACCACATTATCCTAACAAATCACCCAAGAACGATCAAGGAAACAAACAGTCATCGTCAAGCAATCGTTTGGGCTCTTTCAAAAAACCATCTGTAGATAAGCTAGACTGGAATGTTCTTAGATCATCTGGTGTCAAGCAAAATAGATGAGTTTGTTGACTAATGTGTTTCATACAAATTAAGATAGGTTTTGTTTTGTCTAAGGCCCTGGGCTTTTATGTCTGTATTTGTTTATCTATTAGCCTATTTTCCATGAGATTTGACTTCTCTATAGCAAGGAGTGTAATTTAAAAGGTAAAGTGTAAGGTTTGAAGTATCTTTTTTCCAACATCTAATGGTTTGAACATTGTTTCAAATGAGGATTCAAATCATTATATTCGTTATTGTTGCATCCACTGTTTGTCAGTAAGATTTGGGGTTTACCTAAACCTAAACCTAATCACATCCCATACCAACACCACCAAAATCTAACTACAGGTTCACAAGGTCTCCTAAACACAAGAAGTGAATAAAACTCATCATCTTGGTATAATTTTCTTCATAGTCATAATCTTCTAAGCTAACTCTAAATATGTACATAGTTCACAGAGCTTTTTGGGATTATTGAACACATTAAAATCCTACAAGTTCTTAATGAAAATGTAAATAAAGAAGGCACAAAGTCTCTACAAATATTTGAAGAGGCCATTGTTGTACCATTGTATTGTATTCCAACCAAATGGTAGGGAGGGATTTGGATTAGGTGCCATCAAAAGTCACTAAAATCAGTATATCATTGTTGTTAGATCAAGATCGGAGGTCCATATTGTAACTTTAACAAATCACATTTTAAATAAACTTCAAATTACCAACTGTCCGTTCTTGATCTAACAGTTGTGTTTTTTTTTGTATTTTTTTTTTATAGAAGTGACTTCTCGGTGTTTAGACTGCATCCAATCCAAATCCAATGATCGAGATACTTCGTAAACTTGGAGACAAATATTGGAAGGTGTGATGCAGTCAAAGTAACAATGGATTAGAGAATTAGATCTCACTGTTGCTAAACTGACTGTTTTTGAATTTTATTGAAGGCCTTTTGAGATTGCACCTGCTACTGAAATGTTAATCTGATGATTAGCAACAAGAAAAAGGGGGCAATGTAGTTTTATAGTCCAAATTATAAATGCTGACTTGTTTATGCAGAGTTAAACATGGTACCCCAATGAAGTTATGCTTATCTATCAAGTAACTTTTAAGAAGAACATTGTCCATTAGTTCCGTTTTGCCTATAATGTGTTACTACCATTTCCTAGTTTTCGTTTTCATTGGACTGTTTGTTTTTCGTTTACTGTTATTTTGATGATTAGCAGCATATGTGTTTCACAAAAAAAGAGATTCTCATGTTATATCATCCAGGTAGGGAGTTGAACATCAATATCTGATATAAAAACTCAAATGGAGAAGTTCATTACATTTTTTTCAACATATGATAGTACATGACACCTTTTGGAAATAAGGTTAAACAGGAACCCAAGCAGAAAAAGCACTCAAAATTCGCCCTTTCCATCCCTGCAAAATCCACTTACCATCCTCATCAACTACAAAATCTTTATGGTATTCCCTCTTCAACATTGCTTTGGTTTCATTCACTAACTTAGTATCCAACCTGATTTGCTTGAACCCTGCTCTCCTGTTCCTGATCTTCCATTGCTTGTAGGTCTCAGGCCTTTCAACTCTCTCTGCACCCTCACAAGCTATAACATTTATAGCATCCCTTCCAAACAACCCTTTCTCAAGCATCAACCTCTGCGTGTCTTCGCGAGGCACATTAGCCTCGAACATATCGAACAGCGATGAGAAATGGTAGAGTGCTTCCTTAAACCGAGTCAGGAAAAATGGTGCACTATAACTTCCGTTTACAACTCCATGGAAAAAGATTTTTGGATTAATCTTTTTGATCAACTTCAACACAGCTTCTCTTGGACAATTCACTGCCACAGTTTCATCAGGAAGGTTTTTCAGTCTGTACAAACAGCTAACAAGAGTTATTTCATTCCTGTCTATCTTTAGATCCTCGAGCCGTATAGTTTCCCATTTCTGTGCAATGCAGTTGTATTCAAATGGGACATTGAACTTCTTGCAGAAGTTTTCTAACCGCCGCCCGGTTTCCTCCACCCTCTCCGCAGGCCTAAATCCTGGCTGAGGAAGGTCAATACCCGTAATGCGAAGCTTTGGAGGACCACCATGTCGTGTTGAAAGTGTTTTGATAAGGCATGGCCACTGGAAACCATAGCAAATTCCAAAATCGATAATATGAATGCTGCTCTCATTCTTCACTACACTGCGAATCGTTTTGGTTAATAACAAATTTGTCATTCTCTGCAAAGGAGATGAGGTAACAAATAGTTTGTATGCTTTCAACATATCTCCCGCAGTTGCCACATCAAGCGCCTTATACGACGGCGTCCCAGCAGCCAATCTGATCTCAAGACCATCAGCAAAGTAATGAGCTAAACGCTGGAGCCCATCCCCAAATGGTGAAGAATGTTGCCTAATCTGCTTAAGTAGCTCATTTGTATTCTTCTGATCATAGCTCGCCACAGCCTGCGCACATTGAGTTAGCATGGTCCACAAATCCACAGCTGTGGCATTGTTATTTCTAGATACTTTCTTTGAACGCGAACTAGTTGCCGTTGCCTTTTCTCCTGAATCAAGATTCTGTGATGCTTGTAGGTTTTGAGTCCTTCCTATCTGACAAAGCAGCACCTCATCTAAAATCTCTGGTGCCTCTAATTCATCAGAGAAGATAGCTGAAACCTTGCTGTCTCTTCCCTCTTTTTCATTAGAAGTATCATCATTATCATCTGTCTTATGACTTCTCTTTTCTCTTGGTACTAATGAAGCTGAATCCTCTGCAACTATCACTGGTTGAATATCATTCGAACTCCAAGTTCCATTGTGAAAATAATTAGCAGCTTGTGACTCAATGACAACTGGATCAGGTTCTGTCATCTCATAGTAGTTTTGTTCTACTAAAGGGGTTTGTAGAGGTAATGAAGAGTTAATTTCTCCAACAAGATTGACCCAATCAGATTCATACGTGTTATCAGTGGTGCACGTGCAGCTGCTGTTATTGCTCTCAAAACTAGCGGCGGGACCGAAACTTCCATCAGGGTCAGTGGTATCATCACATGATGAATTAGGATAGCTCTGGCCAAGAACATCATAGAATGATTTTTCAGCAGCTTGGAGTCTTAGACATTCCTGCAACATGCAGGGTTGGCGCTCTAATTCATCTTCTTCATCCATGAGGATGTCAGTTATGTATCTCAGGAAGTTATTGGAATATCTTGTCCCTTCTGGGTATTCTTCATTTGAGCTTGTGAAAGATGAAGGTGAAGATGTTGAACCTTCCAACTCAAAACCATCTGTTACTTGGTTTATTGTGTCAGGAACACAAAAATCTGGCAAAAAGGTGTTTGGAGAAAGCATTTTGAACCAAAAAATTAAGACTTTTATAACAGATATTTTGAAAGATTGTTACTGAGAAGCCACAAATATGTATCTCACTAGAAAAACTTGGATGAATCAACTAAACCAAAGACAAAACAAGAACAGAAATAGGAAAAGATATTATTGATAATTGATACTAGCAAGAAAGCAAGATTCAGATAACTAAATAGCTGATCCTGTTTAGGATATTACCATAATCATATCTAGAATAGATCGACGAAGAATCAATTAAAGTAAAAATATTATAGACTCTAGTGAATATAACTGTGGACAAACCTAGGAAAAGTTGCTATCTAACAACTGAAGAGGAAGTAGCATTATTGTTGGATGATTTGGGGTCAACCCTTTGTTATATAGAATTCATAAATGATTCTTTCTATGTACTAAGGAAGCTGCTAGGAAGGAGGATCATAGCCACCAACTCCTATTTTTTTGTATTATTTTATGATAAAGTAATAATAATACAGAATGAGTATTGTTTTAATTATGCATGTACATGACTAGCTGTTACTGTCACACACACGAGAGATAAGTATTCTGTGCTCTAGTCTTTGATTTTTCTGTGTTGTATATAAATAGTCAAAGGTGTGTACGTACACGTGTCAGATGCAGGTGAACCCTTGTTCCCCAAGTCATTTGTCACGGCCTATTACTAAATAATATACCATGTACAGTACTAACTTCAACTTTGAATTCAATGTGAATGCATTTGAATATGATTGATGTTTTCTTGGGTCCATTCAATGATGGAGTAGTTAGACTTGTCATCTAATCTATATGCATCTTTTTAACACTTGACACCAAAAACATATCTATCATAGACAACATAAATAGAAATTTTAATGGAAACTTTTTGTATTTTTCTATTCAGAATAGTGTTATGACTTTGTTAGTTTGGACTAACTATCAGTCTATCATGTTTGAAACTTCAACCAACCATGTCCCTTTAATGATTTTAGTTCATTGTATGATTTGTCCAGATACATGCTACAAATAAAGTTAATTTCCAGGGCTTGCTCTTTTCGTTTTGAATCTTCTTTTTTATGCCAATGAAAGTGGTTTTCCATCTTGACTTGTCTCCCCATGTAACAGTCATTTGGACAAAGACAGTTGACAAGAATGTCTATTAAACCTGGGGCGGACCGGACGTAAGTTGAGATGAGGGTGTGGACATGTTCACTAAAAGTGAATATATATCTTTGTTGTATCAATTGTGCAAGTTCGCGAAGAGGCTAGTGGCTCGATTGATAAAAAAGTGTAGTGACCAAAAAGTCTATTCATGAAACTCTTCCCTTTCCCATGTCTTGCGCGTAGGTAGCGACGTACCTCGAAATGACACTTCTTTTTCTTTGACACTTTCAGTTCTTTTGGCGAGTAATAAACCAGCAAATGCTCAAGAGGAGGAGGAATTTAGCAAGGCGTCCCCATATTTTGCCACATATGTGGGTTTGGCTCTCTAAGGCTGGTTAGATTTATAGTCACTGATATAGTATTGGTTCTATTCGTCCGACCATACTTCAACTTCGACTTAAATTATCCTCCAGCAGCTGATAATTTTTATCAAACTATCCAAATAAATTAGGAAATTCAAAAGCGGGAATTTTTTGAAAATATCTTATCATTAACAATCCTGGATAGAACATTATGACGAAAGTTGATACATGTAGCCGACTCCACTTAGTGGGATAAGACTTGGTTGTTGTATCTGATCATTAACAACAAGAAAAAGGGAGCAATACAGTTTTATAGATCAAATTATAATCTTTGATTTGTTTCTGTAGAGAAAAACATGGCACTTCAATGAAGGCATGCTTATCTATCAAGTAACATATAAGAAGAATATTGTTCTTGAGTTCTGTTTTGCCTTTAATGTGTTGTTAATGCTTCCATTTCTTAGTTTTTGTTGTCATTTTGGTGTTGGCATCCTTTTATTAATGATTAGTAGTAGATTTGTGTTTCATAAAAAGCAGATTCTCATGCTATATCATCTAGGTAGTGAATTGAACATCAATATCTGAAATAAAAACTCAAATACAAAAGGAGAAATTTGTTATATTTTTTCTAACATATGATAGATACTACAAGACACCTTTTGGACATTAGTTTAAGCAGGAACCCAAGCAGAAAACGCATTCAAAATACGCCCTTTCCATCCCTGCAAAACCCACTTACCATCCTCATCAACTACAAAATCTTTATGGTATTCCCTCTTACACATCGCCTTGGTTACATTCACTATCTTAGAATCCAACCTGATCTGCTTGAACCCAGCTCTCCTGTTCCTGATTTGCCACTGCTTGTAGGTCTCTGGCCTTTCAACTCTCTCTGCACCCTCACACGCTATTACATTTATAGCATCCCTTCCATAAAACCCTTTCTCAAGCACCAACCTCTGCGTGTCTTCGCGTGGCACATTAGCCTCAAACATATCAAACAATGATGAGAAGTGGTATAGTGCTTCCCTAAACCGAGTGAGGAAAAACGGTGCACTATAACTTCCGTTTACAACTCCATGGAAGAAGATTTTTGGATTAATCTTCCTGATCAACTTCAACACAGCTTCTCTTGGACAATTCACTGCCACAGTCTCATCAGGCAAATTTTTCAGTCTGTACAAACAGCTAACCAAAGTTGTTTCATTCCTGTCTATCTTTAGATCCTCGAGCCGGATAGTTTCCCATTTCTGTGCAATGCAGTTGTATTCAAATGGAACATTGAACTTCTTGCAGTAGTTTTCTAAACGCCGTCCGGTTTCTTCCGCCCATTCTGCAGGTCTAAATCCTGGCTGAGGAATCTCAATTCCCGTAATTCGAAGCTTTGCAGGGCCACCAGGCATTGTTGAAAGTTTTTTGATGAGGCAGGGCCATTGGAAACCATAGCAAATTCCGAAATCGATAATGTGAACGCTGCTCTCGTTCTTCACTATACTGAAAATTGTTTCAGTTAACAACACATTCGTCATTCTCTGCAAAGGAGACGCGGTAAACAAGAGTTTGTAAGCTTTCAACATATCTCCAGCAGTTGCCACATCAGGAGGCATATACGATGGCGTCTTGGCAGCCAATCTTATCTCAAGACCATTAGCAAAGTAATAAGCTAAACGCTGGAGTCCATCGCCAAAAGGCGAAGAGTGTTGCCTAATCTGCTTGAGGAGCTCATTTGTATTCCGTTGATCGTAGCTCGCCACTGCCTGCGCACATTGAGTTAGCATGGTCCACAAATCCACAGCTGCCGCGTTATCAGTAGATCCTTTCTTCAAACGCGAACGTCTTGCTGTCGCCTTTCCTCCTGAATCAACATTCTTTGAGGGTTGTTGGTGTTGATGCCTTCCTGTTTGATAAAGTAGCACCTCATCCAAAATCTCCGGTGGCTCTAATTCATCAGAGAAGTTAGCTGAAAGCTTGCTACCTCTTCCCTCTTGTTCATTATCATCATCACCATCCATCATATGACTTCTCTTTTCTCTTGTAACTAACGAAGTCGGAACCTCTTCAACCGTAATCACTGGCTGAATGTCATTCCAACTCCAAGTTCCATCGTGAAAATGGCTTGCAGTTTGTGACTCAATGTTAACTGGATCTGGTTCTATCAAATCATAGTAGTTTTGTTCTACTAAAGGCGTTTGTAGTTGTAATGAAGAAGAGTCAATTTCTCCAACAAGGTTGACCCAATCAGATTCATTCGAGTTATCAGTGGTGCAGCTGCCGCTATTGCTCTCAAAACTAGCAGTGCGACCGAAGTTTCCATCTTGGTCAGTACTTGTGCTATCATTTGATGAAGGATGGTTGTGATCAAGAACATCATAGAATGATTTTTCAGCAGCTTGAAGTCTTAAACATTCCTGCAACATGCAGGGTTTGTTCTCCAATTCATCTTCTTCATCCATGAGTATGTCACTTATGTATCTGAGGATGTGATTGGAGTATCTTGTCGATTCTGAGGACCCTCCTCCATTTGAGGTTGTGTCAAAAGAAGGTGAAGATGATGAATCTTCCAACTGAAAACCATTTGTTTCTGGGTTTACTGTGTTAGGAACACAGAAATCTTGCAGAAAGGAGTTTTTAGAAAGCATATTGAAACAAAGCTATTACCAAAAAATTCAGACTTTTATAGTAGATGTTTTTGAGGATTGTTCCTTATAACAAGAACAAGAAGAAAGAAGAAAACAAAAGAACAGCAAAAACAGAAACAGGAAATGATAGTATCTAGGAAAAGATGCTATGAGACATTGTTGGATGATTTGTGGTCATACCCTTTGTTAAATAGAATTCATAAATGATTCTTTCTTTGCACTTAGGAAGCTGCTGGGAAAGAGGATCATAGCCGCCAAACCCTCCTTTTGTACACGTGTCAGAGGCAGGTGAAGCCTTGTTCCCCAAGTCATTGGTCACAAGCTATTACAATATTCATATATCATGTGGAGTGGAGCATAGTAACTTTAATAATGAATTCAATGTGAATGCATTGGAATGTGATGGATGTTTTGTTGGGTCCCATGATGGAGTAGTGAGACTTGTCAACTAATATAGTTAAAAAGAAATTTGAATGGAAGAAACTTTTTGTATTTTTCTAATCAGAATAGTAGTGTTTATGACTTCATTTGTGTTGGATTGACTACCATGTTTGAAATTTGGACCAATAATGTTCTTTTTATGGACCAATTCATTGTATGATCCGTTCAGATACATGTCACTAGTAAAAGTTTTATGTCGGGGATTGCTCTTTTTTGTTTTGATTATCCTTTTTTATGCCAAGAACAATGATTTCTCATCTTGACTAGTTTTCCCATGTAACTTTCATTTTGAATGGAAGATAAAGCTTTGAAAAAAATGTCTATTAAACTAGGGGCCGACAGAAAAGGACATTGAAATTTCACATCTTGATGACAAAAAAAGGACATTTGAAAATTAGGAGAAGAAAACCCCATTTTCATGAGACTAAAAACAAAATTATAACTTTATTACATCACTAGGGGCGCA